TAAAGAAAAAAATCAGTAATGTTTTACTCAAAAGTCATAAAATTCTATTTCACCAGTTCAGTCTTATGTAATTAATCTTCCTTCTGTTGAATTTGCAGCATTAATATGGTCCAGTCTTTCCATTTAATCCTGGAAGTTAACATTCAACGTTACTATTGATATTTCTTGTCCCTAGCATTAAGCTGGTCATTTTCTTGGTTGCTTTTTGTTCTCTTTTTGTTCTTCACACTTCTGTATGTGTGGGGTTTTTTTTGTTTGTTTTGTTTTGTTTTGTTTGTTTGTTTGTTTGTGGAGAGGTTTTTGCTATAGGGCATGTGCACTCACCAGAGAGACAGAAAGTGAGAAATCAACCCCCAGGGAGGGTGGCCACACCACAGTCCCTTCTCCTCCATTCTTCTCTCGGGATCTTGGGCACACATGCACATGCACCCAACATGAGTTTAAGCCACCAGGTCTGGGACTCGAACCACGGTCGACCACATGGGAGTCCCGGCGACATAGCCATTACGCCAACCGCATGTGTATTTTTAATTTTCCTGGTAAAGTATGCCTTTCAGAACTTCTTGAAGAGCTGGTTTGGTGTTGGTAAATTCTTTCAGGTTTTGTTTATCTGAGAATGTTTTTATCTTCCCATATAAAGGATAATCTTGCTGGGTATAGTATTCTTACAACACTTTGAATATATTTTCCCATTCTTTCCTTGCTCACATTGTTTCTCATGAGAAGTCTGATTTTAGCCTGATTAGATAACCTTTACAAGTAACCTGACGTTTCTCTCTTGCCAATTTTAGAATCTTGTCTTTGTGGATTGGCCAATCCAGCAATGTTTTTTAGTTATTCCTTATGCTCACCCTGGAAATGTTTTCACTTAGTGCATTTTTGGTAGCGTTTTCTCTTATTAAGAGGCTTCCTATAATGCTAGAGTATAAAGTAGTCCTTCCCGTGTGTTACAGCGTAAGTTTCTCCTTCAGTTTTATCATAACCGACTGAAAAAGAATGGTTAAAGAAGGTGGCAGTCTGAGTTTGGATTGGGGTGTCAGTACATTCAGCCTTCAGTTTGGGGGCTTACTTCGAGAAGTGAGTCACTTAACAGAGAGCTGTTTCTACCTAAGGAGACCATTCCGACATGGGAGTATAGCTCTCATAAGAGAACACGTGGTATGGACTGTGTGTGGGTTACTGCTTATTTACAAATAACTGTGCTCAGATCTACAGGTTTATGTAAGCCTGTGCAGAAGAATGGTAGCTGGGTTGAGCTTGAATTGCTGGGGAGTTAAGAACGCTCCTGTGCAGTATGTCAGAGCAAACCTTTCACAGCCCAGGAATCTAGATTAGAGGTTTTGTAAATGGGATCAGGAGCTATCAGACCATCTAGAAGCCATTTATAAGTAGAAACAAGTGGAGATGTTAGGTTGATACCACTTTGGGGCAACTAAAGAGAAAAACTGGAATTGGTGATGGAATCACCAGTCTCCGGAGAACACACACAGGGTCACCAGGACAAGAAGCGAGCTGGGACTGGAAGACAGATCGATAGCAGGCAGAGAAACTGTCATTGAATTAGATAGGGAAGTAACCCAGTGTCCGGGACAGACGACCCTGTGTATTGGAACCGTTAGATTCAAGTGGGCCTTTGTTAGGGCAGCTGTAGCTATTGCTACTGTTTTCCTATCTCAGTGGAATTAAGCCATCAGGGAAAATAGCCTGGAGTCTTTAAGAAGAAAACAAACTTAGTGGTTTCAGGGTATTGCTATACACATTACTACTAGCTGTCTCTCATACCTTGTTGAGCTTCTGCTGTTCTTTTTAAAGTTCAACCCAGGTATTCATTGTATTCACTTCTCAGTTTGGCTTATGTTAACGAAAATTAGTTCTTTAAGTGTTTTTTCTCATTTATAAATTATGTATGTTTGTAGACACATTTTTTTAAGTTTACTTATCTGTTTCTTCCATGTGAGAGAGCAAGAGACAGAGATAGAAATCTTCCTGTGCCCCAATAGGGTCTTCATGCCATGCTGCAGCCCAAGCCTCAGCCCGCCTCGTCACAGGCTTGCACTCAGGTGCCAGTAAGTACAGGGAGGCCTCCGAATTCGAACCCAGGACCTTCGGCATTGCAGAGTGTTGCTGTACCAGTGTTCTACCACAATGTTATATGTGTGCATCTTAATTCTTTGATATTTAAGCACCAGCAAAACTGTTTAATTTGATATGTCTGTTGGAAATTTTAATTTAGTACTTGCCTTCCCTAATTAATTGTGTGGTAACTTCTAGACTCATTTTTTATTTTAATATTAGGGGGAAACAGCTACCATACAACCAGCCTTATAGGTAGACAGAAAAAATTTCTGAGAAACACTAGAGAGACCAACAGATGGCATAATGGTTATGTAGCTGGACTCCCACATTGCTGACCATGGTTCGAGTACTGGACCCGGCAGCTTGAAACTCACCCTGGGCACATATGTATGTGTGCCCAACATCCAGAGAGATTAAGGGATTGCAAAAGGCCATCCCCTGGGAGGTGACTTCTTGCCTTCTGTCTCCCTGTTTCTCTTTGTCTCGCTGGTGAGAGCGCACATGCCCTACAGCAGAGATCTCTCTTGACAGCCACAGCATAAACACTAGAAGGGCCGGCAGGTGTTGTGTGGTTAAGGCACTGGACTTCCACATGGCTGACTGCAGTCCGAGTCTGGACCCAGCAGCTTGAAAATCACCCCGAGCCCAAAATCCCAGAGGAGAATGGAGAAGAGATTGCTGTGTGGTCATCTCCCCTGGGGGGTGATTTCTTACTTTCCCTCTCTCTGTGTCTCTCTGATGAGGACATGTACTCTATGGTGGAAAAATTTAAAAAAAAAAAAAAAAAAACCACTGAAACCATGGAATAAATGATTCATGAGATTATCATCATTAACTTGATTTTCCAAGTTATGGAGTACGGCTGCGTGTACGTACCTGGAGCCCACTAGGTAGCTGCTGCGTTAACACGTGGTTGTAAGGTGGAGAGGACCTCAGAGAGCACTTGGCAGCTCAGAGATGATTGATTCCTGAAACAGTAAACCAGATGTTTGCCCTGTAGTCTGTGTACAAAGGCTGGCAGTTACAGGCAGTTTCTGTACTTGGTGCTCATGTCACCAAGAGGACTTCTCTATACCCTGCCAACAGATGTGCGCTGTCAGCATCTCTCCCGTGTTCTCTGCCTCCCCATGGTTACAGCTGAGGGAGTGTTTACATACCTGTCTGAAACCTCTTACCCCGGGACTCTTCCATCTGCTCAAGGACCTGGCTCCTGTACCTGCATCATTTTCCTCCCTCTCCCCAACATTTCCCATCAGAACAGATGTGTATTTTCTCCCAAACTAAACCCTTACCTCCCCCCTTGACTGTCTCCCACCCCACGGTCGCCTGACATCTCTGTCCCCACTACCAGCAGGACCTGCAGAGTGCCCAGGCTTTGTGTCTCCTTCATTTCCTCCGTTTTCTCTTAAGCTGCTGCATTTTTCACGGCCTTTTTCTGTGGTCCTTCCTGATGCCGGACTTAGCCCATGGTCTGCAGATCTCTGCTCTCAGTTTATCACCCTCCGGTGTCCCTTCTGACTCGCTTCCCAGATGGTCTTCGTCCCCTGCACACTGGAGTGCCTGAGCGCCCCAGGACTCAATCTCAGACCGCCGCTCTGCTGCCAGGTCCTCCCCCTGGGGGAGCATCACCAGTGACGCCCGAAGGTGTGTCTCCTCGGAACTCTGGACTCTGAGGTCCAGCCCTGCACGCTCTCCCACTGGAGGGGCCTTAGTTCTTGTATCCCCCAGCACTGTTGCTCCTCCTCCGTTCTTCCCCAGTGGACTGAGTGGCCACTCTGATTCTCGGCTTACCTTGGCCAAAAACTCTGGGACCCCCTACAGTTCATGCAAACTGCTAGCTGGTTCTGTACCTTCTGACGCACTCCCCGCCCATCAAACATCCACGATCATCGGGGCCTGTTCTCTCCTGGACGCTCCTCCAGACAGCCGTGCGGTCCACTTTCTCGTGTTCTCAGGACCTTCGCTAGAGGGTGTCTTCTGGTACCCCGTCACTACCACCTCAGCCCTTCCCTCACTTTGGCAGCTCAGTTCCCAGCCGCCACCCCACTGACACGCAGAAGCATACACGGTGCACCGTGTGTGTATGTTTGCAGTTGTCTGTTTTCCTTCAGAGCGTAACCTGTACAGGAGTAGGGGCTGCTTCACGTTTTACTTTCCCCCAGAGCCTAAAACTGCCTCTCACATGGCAGTCTTCCCTTAGGTATCTCTTGCAGAATTCCATGTTACTTTTCTATGCCTCATCTGTTTCTTCTTCTTCCATAAAGGTTAAGAAAATACTAGTGATCATGTAAATCTTTTAACTTAAAAAAAAGGAAAAGTAAGTGACAATTCTAGCATAAAAACAAATACTGAGAAGAATATATAACTTTCACTTTTAAAGAGCTTTTTCTCCAGTTAAGTTCAGGACTTCTTTTCAAATGCATATTTTCATTTTAATTGGATTTTAATTATTACTTCATTGAAATTAGTGAAGTTACTTAAAATAGACTATATAGATGTGTTTTTTTGTGTGACGAGGTATGATTTTTTGTGATTAGATCATTTAATTGATATTTTTCAATGTTCGTTGCTTTCCTAATATGATTTTGTTCTCAATAGAAGTTAAACTGGTGAGGAGAGGAATGTTCACTTTAAAATCTTTTGCTTATGGAGAACTTCATTTTCATTCTATTTAATTGCTTAAATTCGTAGAGGGTCTTCTTCCTCATAAACATTAGAGAAATACGTGTTCCTAATTCATCACAGTTGAAGAGAAGCATAGGGTGTGTAACTGTGTGTAGTTTGTTTTATAATGTAATGACCGCTATTTTGTACTCCTCTGTGAAAATGTGTTTAATTTCTATCCTTCCTGTCTCTAATGTGTAGAGTCTCTCACTGTTTTCTACTTCGTCACCGTCTTCTCACCTCTCTCCCATCTGTGTCAGAGTTTTTAAGGGGGCCTGAGATGGCCTTGCTCCGTAAGCGCCTGCAGCAGCTGAGGCTTAAGAAGGCCGAGCAGCAGAGGCAGCAGGAGCTGGCCGCCCAGGCCGGGCCGCAGCCGTCCACTTCCGGGCAGCCTCCACAGCACCCCCGGGCTCCAGGTCGTTAATGTCGAGCGTCCGTAAGCAGCTGGTGCAGTTGCTTCTTAACACTGCCGCTGTGTAATGAGAGGCTTCCCTGCCCCACCCAGGAAGAGCTAATGTGCTTGCAGCTTGCCCGGCCCCTTGCATACGGTGTTCTGCCTCAGGGTTGGAGGGACACATGGGCAGCAGCGTCTGCCAGAGAGAGGGAGAGGGAGCGGGCCATTGGCTTACTTGTCATGTATTTGAAGAAGGCAAATATTTCTTTTATAGCTGAGAGCTACTTTCCAGTATCATCTATTAAATGTTGGCCTATGTTAATATTTCTATTGAGACTTCTGATATGCTGAAGTGAATCCACGCTAATGGCTCCTAGCTCTTGCTTTTCTTCTTCTGTTTTCGCTTCAAAACGTAATGGGGGTGGGGGGAGCCTAACAAGTGGCAAAGTGGTTAAGGCGCTGGACTCACACATGGCTGACCGCGGTTTGCGTCCCAGACCTAGTGGCTTGCTTTCTCACTTTTCCCCTCTCTCTCTGGTCAAATTAAAAAATAATAAATATAATGACATGAATTTTTTTAAGGAAAAGTTCATCAATATTCCCATATAAACCTTGTAATGCCAGGTTTTAGAATTACGATATTGGGGGGCCCAGCAGAAGGCACAACAGTTACTTTGTTAGACTCCCACATGGCTGACCCGGTGACTAGAAACTCATGCTGAGTACATGTGCATGCATGCCCAGGATCCTGGGAGGAGAGCGGAGGAGAAGGGATTGCGGTGTGGCCACTCCCCTGGGGGTGATTCTCACTCTCCCTCTCACTCTCTCTGTCTCTCTCTCTCTCTGGCAAGTACACATGTCCTAAGGCAAAAACCTCTAAAGTTTGAAAAAAAAAAAAAAAAGAACCACAGTATCGGTTACCACACGAGCAAGCTGACAGTCATTCCCTCGGTCATGGTTTGAAAATTGTCAGTATTTGCTTACCTGTTCCTTCTACACAGAATCAAGGTTCTAATGTGTAGGAAAGTGAAATTGCTCCACTGTCTCGTGTTCCTGTTCTTTCGTTGTAAACTCTGAAAGGACTCCGAGAAGACAGTGCTAACCTGTGCCGCTCTTTTCTTCCTCGAGTATTTTACTAGCCCTGTCCTTTTATGCGCAGAAGCTCGTAATGCTGAATAAACATTTGCTGAAAGAATTCATCACAGCTAGAGCACAGTCTAATCTGCCAGCTTAGTTTTCAGGATGGGTGGTGCTGCGGGCCCTGTTCACAGGTGTTAGGGCGGGTGCCGGGAGGGTCTTCACTCAGCTTAGTTTTCAGGATGGGTGGTGCTGCGGGCCCTGTTCACAGGTGTTATGGCGGGTGCTGGAGGTCTTTACTCAGTGAGCTGCGTCTGGGTTCTCCTACTGATGAACTTACGCCCTTCCTTTGATTACACTTCACCCTGCCGTCCTAAGGAGTAGGTGACTTTTGGTGTTAATTACTTTGAGAAATCTGATTTATTACTTGGAATTATTTTGCATATGGGTAGAATTAGATTGCCTTCACTATAAAATATCTGTCCCGCTAAGTGCTGTGGTAACAGAGTACATTATGTACACAGTGCAGTGAGATAAAACTTAAGCCACTGTAGTAAATATACAATGTTTGGGACAAATGATTGATTTTTAACTTAGCATTATATTAATAGAGAAATATCAGTGAGTCAGAGAGGTCTCTGATTTTTATTACAGGGAAATATTTTCCTATAGTTAAACTAATAATTACTGCGGCCAGCAGGTGGCATGGTGATTAAGGTTCTGGACAACCACAGGGTTGATCGCAGTTCAAGTCCCAGACCTGGCGATTTGAAAATCATGCCGGGCACATGTGCACGCATACCCAAAATCACAGGAGGAAGATGGAGAAGGAATTGCAGCATGGACATTCTTCCCTCAGGAGGTAATTTCTCACATTCCTTCTCACTGTCTGTCTCTGGTGAGCGCACACACCCTATGAGAAAAAAATCAAAATAAAACAGTAATTACTTCGATTGAATTATAACAACATTTAATAATGAAACATGTTGCTATGATTGTGTGCTATATCAACTCAAGCCAGAGTGTTTTATTTTTTAAAGAATTATTTAATTTTATTTATTATTATTATTATTATTTGACCAGAGAGAGAGAGAGTAAGAAAGCAAGCTGCCACGCCTGGGACTCAGACCCCGGTCAGCCATGTGGGAAACCGGCATTTAATCACCACTCCACCTGCCAGCCCCAGCCAGAGTGTTTTAAAAGTAAAAAAGAGAAAAATCATAAAGTCCTGAAGCATAAAGACCAATAAAAAGAAGATGTCCCTACATATACAATTTTTTTTTCTTCTTCTTTTTATTTTATTTTTTTTCAATAGGGCATGTGCACTTGCCAGAGAGACAGTGAGAAATCACCCCCCCGGGGGGGGGGGCATGCTGCAATCCCTTTTCATCCTTTCTCCTCTCAGGATCTTGGGCACACACGCACAAGCGCCCAGCAAAGCCCCTGGATCCAGTCCCCGAACCACGGTTGACTACATGGGAATCCAACAACACAGCCATTATGCTAACTGCTGGTCCCCCTACATATACAATATTTTTAAAAAAACACAGAATTTATCAGATAACACACCAAGTATTAAAGTGAATTGGTTATAAAACAAAGATGTCTGTGTTAGCAAAAAAGACTTGTACGTTAGAAAATATTTTGAGATGCACCAGTCTTTCATATCTGGTTCATCAGTTTGAATTGAAACAGGTTCTTCTTAGCATCAGAAAGCTTTGGGTTCATTTTATGGTCTCTGTGAAATAAGATGTTGTCTTGCAACTCTTAAGTATTATTCTGAGTAGACTTCGGTGACCGGTCTGTCCTGGTGGTCTGAAAAGCTGCGGTGGAACAGAGACGGTGCAGTGGTCGAGGTGAGAATGTGGGCGGTGGAGCAGAGGCGGTGCAGTGGTCGAGGTGAGAATGTGGGCGGTGGAGCAGAGACGGTGCAGTAGCCGAGGGTGAGCACGCGGGCGGGGGAGTGGGGGCGGGGAGGGGGC